GTGGGAACTCTCACCATCTCACCAACTCAACGAGTACGAGTACAAATTTAATGTAATAGCCTAAACGTGTCTATTAATGAGGAGTTTCTATATCCTTATAAAGAATGCTTTGTTCTCCTCTCCAATCAACGTGGAATCTCACAATCCACCCTCTTCAAAATTCAATCGATGTGAGATCCTTAATTTACTCCTCTTCAAGGTCCAATGTCCTTGCTAACACACCATCTCGTATCCACACTCCTTCGAGCTCAGCTTCTTTGCTGACACATTACCTAGTGTCTAGTTCTTTTACCATTTGTAACGGTTCAAGTCCACCGCTAGCATATATTGTCCTCAAGATTTTTAAAACACGTCTACTAGGAAGAGATTTTCACATCCTTATAAAGAATAGTTCGACAACTTAACCGATGTGGGATTTCACACTTAAACTCTCTCTTTTTTCACTCTGTCTGTGAATTTAGCTTGAAGCAGGACCATGAAAGGCTCTCTTCTGTTCATATTTGAAACAAGTAATTCCCTTTCAGTAGAGAGAAGGGACAAAGGGAGAAGCGGCAGTGATAGCATTCACTTTATAGTAATAAATAAAGGTTAAATTAGCATTTAGCAAGTAAAAGTTTGGTAAAGCATGAAGTCAGAGGAAGAGGTCAACAACACACCAATAAAGCCAGACAGACAAGGCCACTGGTTTGAGGTGGACAATCCAATCCTCAATATCCGTCGGTGATTCAAAGAAATTTCAAACCACCAAAGTAAATTTCATTAAAGCATCACCTTTTTTTAGATTTTCCCACCACGTCCCTAACCTGTCTTGCCTTAATGCTTTCATTTGACCAATACACTTTCTATGTAATTCAATTTTGATGAAAGGGTAAGTTTGGTATTAGGAATCACGAATCACTATAATGATATGATATTGTCTACTTTGAGTATAAGTTCTTATGATTTTGCTTTTGGTTTCTCTGAAAGACCTCGTACCAATGAAGATAGTATTCTTTACTTATAGTAAACCCATTATCTTTTCCTCTGGGACCCTTGTTTCCAACATTCTTCAACAATCCTCCCTTCGAACAAAATGCACCATAGAGTCTTCCTTAAGGCCTATGGAGCGTTCGAACAATCTCCCCTTAATCGAGGTTTGACTCCTCTGGAGCCCTCGAACAAAATACACTTTTTATTTGGCGCTTGAGTCATTTTTTACTACACGTTCGAGACTTGCAATCTTTGTTTGACATTTGAGGATTCTATTAACATGGTTACGTTAAAGACATGCCTCTAATACCATGTTAGGAATCACGACCTCCTTTGTCCACTTTGGACATAAGCTCTCATAGTTTTGCTTTTGGTTTTCCCAAAAAGCCTCATACCAATAAAAATAGTATTTCTTACTTATAAATCCATGAAGGTATGACTACCTACACATTTGCCCTTTTTTTTTTCCACAAAAAAGTTGATAGCTGGAAAGTAGTTCAAAAATAAAATAGAAGTTCATTGACAGCCCTGACTTAAATAGTATTTTCCCCAACTATTAAATTAAAATCATATTGCTTAGGGGGAAAATGGAAAAAGAAAGGGCAACCAGTCCAGTTTAGCATGCAATTATTGGGGTTGTCATAATTAGACTTGGTAAGAAAGTGTTAAAGAATGGGGCCTCTTGACTCTTTGAGGTGTGCATTTCAAAGCCTTTTTCCTTTTGTTTCATCACTCTTATCCCCTGTGAAATGAAAGGAACGTTTTAGCTCAACGCTTCCAGCATTATTGTCCCCTAATCTTTTAGATTTATTCAATTGAATTCAACTGAAAGAACTTTCCATTTTTAAAGAGTAATGCATTTTAGTTTACAAATAAATTGAGGTTTGTCTAAAAAGAGCGATGCATTTAATGCATCCATGAAGGCTACAGCAGTATCATTTAAGCAGTGGACCTATTGTTTGCTAAGATCAAGCTTGCTCTTTCTGTTCTTGTTGTTCTTGCCTCTTGTGTGTGGGACATCTATATTTATGGTGTTAATTTATGAGTCATATGTTCTATAATTCTGTTATTTGATCAATTTTTTTGGTTTATTTTCCTTGTGAGCTTAAATGTTGCAAGTTCAAGTGGATCGTCCAATTCATCAGCTTCTATATAAAATCTAAGTTAGCCATCAACCAAGGAGATATTTGTCGCTTCAAAAATGGAAAAAAGTAAATATTTCAGAAGAGAAGGGAATGGGAGTGTACAAACCTGTGTCGAAACAGGCAACATTCACCAACATTTTCATGTGCCAGAAGATAAGTCCCGTAATGCCTTTTAAGCGTGTTTCCAGCACCCTGCAGGAGAACTAGTTGTCATTTTATATCACCTGAGCTATCTTTTACTCTTCTTATGAGCATCAAGAAACAACGTTCCCATTATTTGTTTATGCATATACAACATTCTAGATATTCAAGAATAAACAGTTACACTAGGATTGTGTTGTTAGACATGAAAGTGTTGAGAATTGTTGGGAGAGGTCCCATATCGGCTAATTAAGGGTTGATCATGGGCTTATAAGTAAGGAATACATCTCTATTGGTATGAGGCCTTTTAGGAGAACCAAAAGCAAAGCCATGAGAGCTTCTGTTCAAAGTGGACAATATCATACCATCGTGGAGGTTCGTGATTCCTAACATGGTATCAGAGTCATGCCCTTCAAAGAAGTTGTGAGCTTCGAAGGTGTAGTCAAAAGTAACTCAAGCATCGAGCAAATGGTGTACTTTGTTCGATGGCTCTAGAGAAGGAGTCGAGTCTCAACTGAGGGTAGACTATTCGAGGGCTCCATAGGCCTCAAGGGAAGCTCTACGATGTACTTTATTCGAGAGGAGGATTGTTGAGGAGGGTTGGGAGAGGAGTCTCACATCAGCTAAGGGAATCATCGTGAGTTTATAAGTAAGGAATACATCTCCACTGGTATGAGGTCTTTTGGAGAAACCAAAAGTAAGGCCATGAGAGCTTATGCTCAAAGTGGACAATATCATACTATTGTGAAGGTTCGTGATTTCTAACAGAAAGCCGTGCGGACATTTTATAGGTCATGTTATGGTTGCACGTCATTGAGTTAATGCCATTTCCAACACAAAACCCACCTCTTGAAACCACCTGATCAGCAGCATCCATTCTGGAATAGTCCAACTAGTGTCCAGTACACTCTAAATCCATGATTCTAACTGAGAGAAAGCGGCTTACCTCCCTGTACAGGCTGTGAAGGAAACAAGTATTTTGGCGCAACTTTGGGTTCAAGAAGATTAGACAAATGCTGCAGCCATAAAATTAAGTAGAAATCAATCTAAATTTTCAGGTCGAATAGATGAACTATCCCATGCTTCAGATAAGTTTCAAAATCTTTATCAACTCAATTTACACGTAATCGTAGAAATATATATGGTAGATATTTATATATAATATGTGGTTATATTTGTTAAACCTATAGTAAATTGAAACTATATATATCCATTAGACAATATTTTGAAGATGTACTTTCTCTATTTTCTATATTCTATTAGTACATACATGAAATCATCAATATAAACCTTTTAACCAATATTCTTCTTTGTATTTCTCTCTTGTTCTTTATGTTCATCTAGATTAAGTGTGTGTTGATGTGCGATCCTAACATAATCTCCATTGTCATTGTCATACAAAATGGAGCAACTCTGAACAATAGCTTTATTTGTTCATGAAATTGTGGAATGGGATATCTCTGATGATCCTTTGGATAATCCTCTTACTTTTATCTTCAGGAACACTCCAACAGGGGATTGCAATACTAGTATATCTAGCAGTATTTTTATTTGGTGTTTGTTATTTCAGTAAATTGCTTGAATAAAATAGTGCATAAGCATCTTGGTTTGCTCTCTTTCAAGGTGCAGAAACAGGAGGAGGCAGTGGTTCCTCTTGGGACTTAGCTGAAGGCATCTTCTTTTGCCCTGTTTCAAAGAGCCAGTATCAAAAACTTCTTTTTTCTTCAAATCCCATCTCAATTTATACCATTCATAGCTAATGTGACCGTACATGGACTGATTCACATGCGCCAAGATTCTACAAATTAGTGCATATGTATGGAACACTTGGCAAGAGGTGGTTGGTCTGTCACATTTAGATCTCGCGGAAAAGTTGCAGGCTAAGGTACACTTCTATGCCATTGGTTACTCGACCAGACAATATATTTACATACGCACATAAGTACACAGGCTTCTTCTGATGATATTATCAACATGAGCTGTAACTCAGCCAGCAATAATCGAAGGTACATTGTGAGATCTCACGTCGGTTGTAGAGGGGAATCGTTGTTTATAAGAGTGTAGAAACCTCTCCCTAGCATACCCGTTTTAAAAACTTTGAGAAAAGCTTGAAAGAGAGCCCAAAAAGTACAATATCTGTTAGTGGTGAGTTTGGGCTATTGTAAATGGACATCAAGCAGTGTACCAGAGAGGACGTTGAGCCCCGAAGGAGGGTGAACACCGTGCGGTGTGCCAGGAAGGATATTGGGCCCCAAGGGGGTGGATTGTGAGATTTCACATCGATTGAAGAGAGAAACAAGTGCCAACGAGGACGCTAAGCCTGAAAGGAGATGGATTGTGAGATCCCACGTCAATTAGAAAGAGGAACGAGTGCCAACAAGAACACTGGGTTCCTAAAGGGGTGGATTGTGAGATCCCACGTTAGTTGGAGAGGGGATGAAACATTTTTTATGAGGATGTGAAAACTTCTTCTTAGCAGACGCGTTTTAAAAACCTTGAATGGAAAACTCAAAGAGAACAATATCTGCTAGCGGTGGGCTTAAGTGGTTACACTGTACTCCGGTACTCCTCTCCTCCCTTTTAAAGATAGACGTATCCCACGTCTATTGCACTAGAAAACGATGACCCACAAACAAATAAACCAGATGAAATTGTCCAAGGTAATCCAGTCGAAACCCAGACCATGTTACTGAACCATGCAATAAGTTTTAAGCATATGTTAAGATCAACTTCTCCAGTTCATGCATTCATAAACATTTGACTTCATTTAGCTCAGCTATTGTAGCAACCCTTCATATCTTATCTCTTTCATATGTTTTTTCAGCCTTACATAATCATCAGTTCATCACAACCAAAAATTAAATTATCCAAAAGAGCTTCAAATCTTACACCCTTTTCCTTTTCTGATACAACATCGATCTGGCAATGAATACAAAGACAACAAAGATCCAACTTCTCTTGTTTTCTTTTATTGCTAAATGCTAATGTCCATTTTAATTTACATTTTCTGAAACATGAAGCAGGTGGAAGAGACAATAAGACTATGAAACAGGAAGGCGGTTATGTTGGCGCTGGAGATCCTCTAAGAGAAGGTGAGTTTCAATTGGTTCATTTTTATGACATTGTCTGAAAGATTCAAGTATTTTCCTGGTAGAATCTTCTAATTCTCTCCTTTCATCATTTTCAATCTGCTGGTTTCTACACTTTATGCTGCAATAACCTTGATCACCCCTATGAACACCACCAAATACCCATCAATAAACTGAACCAGTATAAAGAAATGACATATTTCCTAGGAAAAATCTAAAGAAATTAGCAAAAACTAAGGCATTTAGATCAAAAATTGAGTACCTGTACATGTAAATATCTTCGTGGGGGTCCAGATTCTTGTGGCAAAGAAGACATGTTTTGAGAAAACATGAATTGTTGGAAATGATTTGAGTGGAAGAAGCAAGTTTTGTGGAGTGTTTAAGCAGGAGATTTGGTTGTGGTGAGCGATGAACAAGGATTCCTAACCCAACAGCCTTCGAATTTCTGGGATTATTGTCAGTTTCTCTTAGCTTACCATTTCTCTCCTTCATTCTAAAGGGTCTCCCCAATTTGGGAAGCATTTGTAGAGGGTAGAATCAGGGGAAGATGGTGTGAGGATGTGAAGGATTTGCATATGGCGGATATATAGAAAAATATGAATGCCCACAGAAAAGAAAAGGAGAGTAAAGGGGACAGAGTGATGCAGAAAACAATAAGAAATATAAAACGACGTGGTTTCACAACCCGACATCTGGTTTCCACCATGATGTTTTTTTTTTTTGGTTTGGTACAGAACAGAACAGAGCAAAAGCTGTGGGCTTTGTTGTAAAATGAAAACGTGGAAAATGAGGAGGGGATGGTTAAAAAATAGTTTATTCTTTTATGCTATGGAAATAGAGCTAACACCTGGCCTGTACATGCTTTCCATCATCGACGGCGATTGCCTACCAAATTACTGTTCTTCATGTGTTTTATATTTTCTAAACTCTGATTTTTTTTTTTTTTCGAAGAATGAAAGTTAGTCTCACGATTTTAAAACACGTCTGCTAAGGAGAGGTTTTCACTCCCTTAAAAAGAATGTTTTGTTCCCCTCTTCAATCGATGTAGTATCTCAAAATCCACCCCTTTAGGAGCTCAATGTCCTCAATGACACTGTTTGGTGTCTGGCTCTGATACTATTTGTAACAAGTTAAACCCTAAGCTCTAAACTTTTTTATAAGGAATGCTTCATTTTTTTCTTCCATCGATGTGGGATTTCACATATTTTATTAGATATGAAAGTCTCACATCGACTAATTTAGAGAATGATCATGGGTTTGTAATTAAGGAGTACTCTCTCTCTATTGGTATGAGACCTTTTTAGGGAAACCCAAAGCAAAGCCATGAGAGCCTATGCTCAAAGTAGACAATATCATACCATTATGGAAGGTAGTGTTCATCTAACACTCACATCTGTACAGTTTGTTCTACGAAGACAGATTCTTATGTATTATTATTCATGGAGGACAAAACTTTATAAATAGTTTGAGATGAAGTCAATTCTTATAATTATAGGTACTGAAGTACTCCAGACATTATTTTTCGAATCGATTCAAATATAATTCAACAAATAAAACACGTTTGTTCTCCTCTCACAATAAAAAAATTCCCTCCATTATTGAATTGAAAAGTACTGCCCACCTTTATTGAATTCAAAACAAAACTAATGAATTACTAAATAAACAATGGTAGGTAGAGGTGTTAATTAATCATTGAAAAATCTTTAATTTATTCCTTTTAAGGTAATATAGTTGCCAATGCTTTCCTTTTCAATTTTAATCATTAAACATCTCTAATTTGCTTTGTTATGTTTGGTAACCCTAAGTTCTTTTTTTTTTTTTCTTAAAATTGAAATATCCTAAAACTTTGGTTTGATTCTTTTTAAAATTCTTTATATAATTTTTGAGGGTGAGAAAATGATTGAAGTGAATATTTTCTTGCTTTTTTTTTTGAAATAATTGAAAAACTAAAAATAAGAAAAATGAAGTGAATGTGAAAGTGAAGGGTATTTTAGACATTTTTTATATATCGTGAAAATTTGAGAAGGGCTTGCAACATCTAAAAACATTTTTTCAAAAATTTTGATTTTTAGTGTTTCACTAAAAAAATAATTTATTTATTTTTTAGACTAAATTGATAATAATATTTTTGAACTTTACACTTTTTTTTTTTAAATATCCATAAATTTTCAAGCGTTTTAATAATATTCTTAAAAATTTTAAAATAATTTAAAAAATATAAACTTTCAAAAAGTTCAAATAAAAAAAAATATCTTAACTAAAAAAAAAAAAGTCAAAGTACCTTTATATTTTCTTTTGGAAGGAAATTATTAATATAATAAAAAATAATTTTGAACTTTTAAAATAATTTAAAAAATATCCTTTTTAACTTTAAAAAAATGTTTAAAAACACCCTTTAATTTTCAAAATTTTCTTTTAATACCCTCAATTAAAAAATAAAAAATAAAAAAAAACTTAAAAAAATATCTTTAAACTTCCTTAAAAACTTAAAAAGGCCTTTAAACTTGTTTAAAAAAATATTCAAAAATACCTTTAACGTGAGTTTCAAAAAAAATATATATATATACTCACCAACTTTTTAAAGTAATATTAAAAGGTTTGCCGATAATATACCGATGATGAAAGTTCTCATCCATATATAGATATAAGATTTTTTTTTTTTTTTTTTAAAAATCTTATGGAATTTTAAAGTTTGAAGGGTATAAGTTAAGAGTATTTTTTTATGATAGTTCTAACCATTTCTATTCGATCCATCCCATGTTAAAAGTATTTTTTAGAATTTGTTTTTTTTTTTAATTTAAGATTATTAAAATTTTTAATTTTAAAAGTATTTGTAAAATTCAAAAATATTTTTTTTAAGACTAGTTACCAAGCACTCCAAATTTTATTAAAATATATATTTTTTTCATAATAATGCTCCAAAAGTTAGAACCAAACAAACTCTAAACCACTTGCTATACATTATTTCAATCATAGCATAAAAATTACTTTAGAATCTTTAAAGTTTTTGAAGTGTTTTTTTTTTTTCGCATGTGATTCTTCTCAACAGAGACTGGACGAAAGAATTGACTTACAATTCACCTAAGTAGAGAATAAATAAAGATGATAATTTATGAGAGTATGAACACATTATGCTTTCTTTTTTAATCATAAAATTCATTAATTAATTAATTTTAATTTTATTCATTTTTAAGTTCATCTAAGTTAAGTTATAAGCATATTGATATTAAAATAATATAATCAGAAAACTAGTAGTAGTGGTGATATGAACCACGACCAAGTAATTTCTATACCTCAAGGTCCAATTACAAGGATGAGAGCCAAGAAGCTACAACAAATCTTATACACTTATATTCAAGCTATGGTGAGCTCATCCAAAGAAATTCTAGAAAACGTTAGAGATCTCTCTTATATTTATGCAAAGTTGAGTTTCTAGAAAGAGATGAATTAAATGCACTTTAAATTGCAAGTTGCTCAGCTAAATTTATGAAACTAGTTCAAGGATGACTAGTAAACACATTACCTTCATTGCACTATTTAATTATAATTTAATTATTTGTTTGTTTGTCATAGTTTTAAATATAGGAGTTAAGATTATATTGTAACCCACTTAGGTTACCATATTCCACCGTTAACTAGCCATTTTAAAATGGGGAGAGTTATGTATCACATAGGTTAAGGTACATAGGTTAAGGTGGTAAAGGCTATATAAAACCTTCTTTTCTTTGATCAGAGACATCAGATTTTATTTCTATTTTAGCTTTGTTTAGAGATGAGTTTTTCTTTGCAAATTCTTGTGTGTTTAGAACTTGCATGCTAGATTCTTGTGTTTAGAACTTGCATGCTAGAGTGTCATTCAAGTGGTATTAATCAAACCTCTTGTGGAGTGATTCGAATTACGAGTTTTCTTTACTCTTGATCTTAATCATCAAGGTAATCCGTTCCATACTTTCCCTTGAGGTGATTTCCATATCGAGTGGGGCTTCTATTCATAATAAAATTCCAATTTGCAACAGTATTTATCCTTCCAAATCAATATAAAGGTCTTAGTATTCTCAGCCCTCACAATAACTTGTTCAAACTAAAAGAATTCACACTCCTTCAAGCACTTCAACTTTCCTTTAAAACCCAGGTCTAGAAAACCTGCAGAAGTTACTGGAAATCGTCTTTACTTTATAAGGTAGGTTTTGTTTCATGTTCTCGTCTAACTTAGCGATGTCATAGCAGGCTACTGAGCTCTTCGGTTGCATCCGAGCAACTTAAAGCACAGTCAACTGTGTCGATGGTGGAGACAACCATGGAAACAAGCAGCCAGGACGATATTAAGGCAGGTGAACACGAGGCATTTTGGATGAAAGAACACAAGAATGGAAACTGGGATTCCTGAGAAATGCATTGAAGAGATAGATGTGGCTGAATTGAGGGAAGAAACTGCTGCCTAAAACTAAGAAGCTGATCTAAAACAAGTGAAAGCTCTCAGCTTTGTTATGTGCATATGAACAGTGAAGAACTACTGAGCAGAACTTTTTTTTTTCTCTCCATCTCGCTCTGATCTGTCAGTTTCAAGTCTCAAATGAATACCTATAAATTTAAAGATGATGAATATGATGGATGAAAGAAGGGAATCTCAGAATCTCATAATGTTTATCAATGAAAGCAAACTGCCAGATCGGTAGCTGCACAGGTCAAGTTTGATGAGTTGGAAAATGGAAATGAGTAAATATGTAGAGTTACCAACATTAATAGGGACAAACATCTCAACGGGTATCTATTGCAATTATTTATTGATTTAGAAGGGACCATCCTAATGACATTCCTATCACTCCAGTTCCTTCTAATATGGGGCAGAGAGAGGAAAAGGATAGCACTCTCTTTTCTGAGAAGGGACCATATCCTAGCGAAAAATCGGGGTCCATTCTAGTGACAAATGATATCCTCTTTCCAATTCCTACCATTAAGAGAGAGAGAAACTTGATATATACTGATAGACATCCGGGACAGAACAATATGACAAAGATATTGAGAAGTTGGACTATAACTATGTTACGACAAAATAAGTCGAACATAGTTCAATTAGATAAGATATATACTCTCAACTAAGAGGTTAGATATTTTGAATCTCTCTTTGCCGAGTATAGCTCAACTAGATAAGATATATACTCTCAAGTAAGAGGTCAGATATTTGAATTTCTCTTTGCCGAGTATAGTTCAACTAGATAAGATATATACTCTCAACTAAGAGGTCAGATATTTGAATCTCTCTTTGCCGAGTATAGTTCAACTAGATAAGATATATACTCTCAACTAAGAGGTCAGATATTTGAATCTCTCTTTGCCGAGTATAGTTCAACTAGATAAGATATATACTCTCAACTAAGAGGTCAGATATCTTAATCTATCTCTCACATGTTGAACACAAAAACTATCAACTAAATAAGATGTATACTCTTAACTAAGAGGTCAGATATTTGAATCTATTTCATTCCAGCATAACATAATTTTGCACTGTTTTTTAGAAAGCAAATGTTCACTACTCATGTATATAAGCAGACATGCAGAAAGTTCACAAGCCACAAACTAGACTACATTTGGAGCAATGAATACAAACAAAATTTTTTGTAGAGTTCAAGCATCCACGCTCGAGGTCATTATAAGAAAAGGAAGGGTTGTTTCAGAATTTGACTATAAATATAGTTGGATGAGCTCGTCACTCACCACAGATGGAGAAAGAACGCCCAAATCTGTGAAGAGAAGAGTAAGGTATTGAGGAGGAGTATAATCACGAGCAGATTTTTCCACTTCAACCTTGGATGGGATAGGGACCCCAAAATCAATGGGACGCAGGGCAGGGGCCATGTCTTTCTGATCTAATGGGTAGAGTCGGGCAAACTGCAAAAATAATTGCAAGTCAGTTTTTTCCCCAGTAACTATAATCATGAGAGGTAAGAAGGTATTTACTAATCCCAATACTGTAAATGATCTAATGAAGGCAAGTAGATGGAGGCAAACCTTATAACTCTCAGCAGCTACATACATCGGTTTGTTCATGCTATGTGCCACTAATGCTATTTGATAGGTGCCCATCATGTTGATTATACCTCCACTTTCAACAACTCCATCAGCCCCAACTAGAACCATATCAACCTCATCCATCGTATATGCTACTGCTGAGTCAATTAGGAGCTTTACAGGAACATCAAGTTTAGCTAGCTCATTGGATAGACGCAACCCTGTCCTGTCTGGTCTTCCTTCTGCATATTTTACGAACAAATTTCAACAAATCGAAAGTTAATAAAGACAATGTAGATGCCATGGAAGAGATAGACAAGATTACAAAAAACAAACAAACAAAAAAATACTGGTTTCTTGTTGCATTGAAGTTCATCATACTGTTAGGCAAGTGTACTAGAGGAAAAGAAAAAAGGGAGAATACCTTCTCTTTAGTTAGTTGTCTAGGCTGAGTACTTACTTTATATAGTATGTAATAAGTTAGTTTTATCATTCATGTATTTTCTGTGTGTGCCATAGTGGTAGGAAGAGACGTAAGCCCTCTTGAAATAACTTGGCTGCTGATTTGTACTGGGGCCTAGGAATATTGTGAATTGTTATCCCCACATTCAAAAACCAAAGACAGAAAGGTTGGGACATGAAACGTTAGCCAAACAGCTACAGCCATAATTCACCTTAGTGCAAGCCTGTTTTCCTTATCCAATCTTCTCTTAGTGTACGTAAATGGCCCTTTGCCAGACTGAATTTAGTTGATATCGTGGATGAGGATTTGATAGTGCATCTTTATGTCCTCAGTCGCATTTCCCCCATACACAGCTTCAGCAATGCCATGCCACCACTCAGGAGAGTCCTTGTCGTATAAAGGCAACTCTTCTTAAATTGTTTCTTTTGCTTGCTTCTCCAAGAGGAAGGCATTGAGCCTAAGCACCATGGAGAAGTGAAGAGCTCATGCCATTCTAATCCAACATCCAACTTTCTTGGTTTTAAAGAAGAAAAGAATTGAAGTTGATTTGGAGTCTCATAAGATTCATCAGGCCTAAGTTATGGCAGCACAAAAAAGTGTCTATTTCCAGATAGCCAATTTTGGGAACATTGGATATCCTCAGAAGGAGCAGAGGCAAACTCCAGTAAGAATTAATAGAGAAACCACATTGCGATAGTCAATTCAAAAGACAGTAAAGAAGGTTCTTTTATTGGATTCCAAAGGAAAACCAGGCATTTGAGAGAATTAAACAGGCTATGATTACCCTCTTAGATTGCACAAGTAGTTGGTGACATTGCACACTAGATTGGAATTTGGATCTCCCACCTGTTGCCTCCATGCACCTAGTCTTTCATGTCTCATAACTTACAAACAGCTATAAGCATTGGTGTTGTAGCATACTCTCTCTTCCTCATTTGAGAACTAATTTGGAATCAATTATGGAACCTAAGAAAGTATTGGGAGTTCAGAAAACACACAAATAACAATTCCTGGGAGCTACTAGTTCAATTAAAGTATCTTCCAGTTCCTCCCCGTCTAGCCATCCTAGGTACTTCTGGAAACCATTCAGCAACGGTCTCCTAAGTTTCACTTTGGGGACAAGGTAGTAATGTTAGGTCACCAATTATAGATGTTTATGAGCCGAGAGGTTTAAAAGGGAATAACTCCACCAAAGGAGTGCCGGGTTGAGTATGAAATCCGATGAGGAATAAGTTGATTCTGTTCTGTCATTCAATACCTATGTTAGCCACCTCAATCTGGCTAACTTAATAATTGTTTTGTGTTCGGGTCCTTTTGTAAATGTTTCCTCACAGTTCTATACCTGTCGCATATCAAGGAGCTACTTTCAATCAAATTCATAAGAAAACAAAAATAAATACGTCCCTTATCCAGTATATCAAAGGGAGAGGTCCAAATCCTTGAAAAAAACACAAACACAAGATTTATAGAGTTTGACTTGGTAACACAGACTTAAATGACAACTCAATTTGCAAGGTGGTTAAAGACTTAAAAGAGCAGAACCTGTGCAAAACACTCTAAAGAGCTTCTTATTCTGTGCAGCTAACCTCAGAACTTCCATAACAACTCTAGAGAAACCATGGACCAAAATTGTACAACCATCAAAAATGAAATCCTGACTGAGCATTGCAATAATTCTCCGTGCCTGCAATGCAATACCAGTTTTAGCATTAAAATACCTTGACAAATTACATGGTGTTCGGCCATTACAAATGATCATCATGGTAAGCTCTACCTTACAAGATATCTCCCCAAACTTTTCTGCACGTTCAATCAGGCGAGACTTAGCAGACTTGAAATCCTCATATTCTAAAGCCGATGTTCTAGTTACATACCGCATGAACAAATCACACCCAGCCGTCAACGATATTGAAGTTGTATCCCATGACTGGAGGAAATAGACAGATAGATGAAATGAATTAGACGTTATTTATATTAGCCTGTCAACTGAAAGCATGCAAAGATCATCCATTATTTGTATGAACTATTTGTACACCACTACGATTTCGTACATAATTCATTTCCTAAAAACCTCAAAATAAAACATATATGACTCCCAATTATGCCTCTAAAACCTCAAAATACAGTACAACAACTCACCTTCAGAGAGTCCGAGGCCTTTTTCAGCTCAATTTCGAGCTCCATCATTGTCGTGGCCTGACTGGACCGTATTACAGCCGCCAAAGACCGAATAGCTGCGACGGCCTCGGCCAAATCCGGCTGTTTCCTCCAGTTATTAAACTCATCGATCACACAGAAAGGCTTGCCAGATTCAGAGTCCCTAACATCAGCTTCCGATAACAATTGTTCGTCGGTCGGGAATCCGACAGCAGCTTGCGCCTGTGCGAGCCAATCACTGGTGACGACGGCGGTGTGAGAAGCCCTACTTTGGTAATAGGCAGAGATTTTAGGGTTAGGGTTCTGGAAAGTGTCCGCCATAGAAGATTCGTCGACAGGCGGTGAAATAGAAAGGGTTTCAGGTTGCTTTGAAACGCCTTCAGTTTGCTGCTTGTCCAGGATGAAAGAAGCCGATCTCCACCACATTTACGTTCGAGGATTACCCGTACAAGACGGTGAAGAATCTAAGTTTTCGGGTTTTTAAGAGAGAAAGTGATAGAATCTACGGTTACGCTCCGATTTCGGAGATTCCGGCGACTTCACTCCCTGTCGGCCGAAATCAATTTTACCTAACAACTATGATTTGGATAAATAAAATCTTATAAAAATAATATTATATTCTAATCCTCCCACTTGTTTTTAAATATTATAAAAATAAGAATTAATTGTTTTTAAAAATAAAATATTTCAACAATAAATATTATTGAATTTTAAAAATACTTCTTTAACTTTAAAAAAATAATTCAAAAAATAGAAAAAAATAATGAATTAAAAAAATTACTTTTTATTTATTAATTATATTTTTTTTATGATTTAAAATTTAAAAACATTATACAAAAAATAGTTCGGTAGATCGAATGGTTCCAAACGAGACTAAGGATGATGTAAATATTTACGTACAATTATTTTTTTAGATCATAATATTAAAAAACATTAATAAAAAGATTTTCAAAATATTATAAAATGTTTTTTTTTAATGGTGAAATTTCAATATAATATT